GGCCAACACACTAAACCAGCAGGCCGTCAGGCTTCACTTGAGGATCAGTGGGCGGGTCGTGTTGTTCAAGCATGCCAACATGGTGTGAAACAAAGACGAAGGAAAAGCAGAGACCAACCCCAAAACCCCCTGCTAACGTGCCTTACTTATAGGCCCCCTAGCCAACCACCGAAACCCTAAATCCCCGAAGACCCCCCATAAACTCCTTGAGCCCCCACATCCCAAAAAGAAACCCTCAGTCCTAAATGACCATTGCAATGCCTCCGACATCTTGGGCATTTTCTGATTTATTTCTGGGAGCCAAAAGCTCCCTAGGCCCCACAAGGATTCAGAAAGCAGAGGGGCTCTACAAGCCCTTGGCACCTGATGATCACTCGATACGGTTTTCGTGATCCTTCCTCGGGTACCCTACACCCTTAACCCTAGACCCTGAACCCCAACAACTACATCCATTTCACACAGCTCAATGGGTTCCGGATTTTGGCCAAACGCCGCACTCTGCACTGCTCTGCGGGATCAGCCGGAGTTTTTCCTCAAGGGCGGCAAGGAGGTTTAGGGTTCAGAAAGGAAGTGCTTGGGGATCCTACCGCTGTTCGCGGCTTCGGGCTTTCGTGGATTTTGTGATGACGCGCTGTTGATAGTGGTTTCGGGTTCAGGGCCATCGACCTCCAATAATGCCACCTGCATGATGCATCCACAAACATCCGTGGTCATACTTGTGCTGTCTTGTATAAATCCACACTGTAGCAACCTCGTTGAAAGCCCTTCGAATGTTGCATGCAAGGAGCACAAAGGGCCAAAACCCGAAAGGTTTGGGGTTTGGGGTTCGTTTAGGGTTTCGGGCTTCTCGGGAAGCTGTAAACCTCAAACCCTGATCCCAACCCCTAAAGAATTGAGCGCGCGGCGCCCGGTGTGCCAGCGCTCGAGACCTGAGCTACAGACCCCAAAGCCCTTAAGGTTCAGGGGTTTAGGGTTTAGGGGTTCAGAGTTTAGGGTTTAGGGTTTAGGTGTTGGGGTCGGTTTGGGGGGTTTGGTGGTTTGGGATTGTGGGGTCTTCCCCTCTGGCTGGTTGGCTGTGTGCCTTGTTGGATCCGAGTGGAACCAGGATGCCCAAAAAGGACTCCTAACCACCTGCCCCCCCCAAGAGAAATGAGGCTATTCCTGGGCACGAAACCCTAAGCTCTGGGCGCTAAAATCTCCCCTCCCCCCCCCCAGTCCAGAAAACAAGCAGGGCAACAAGGGTACTACTTTAAGGGCACTGCAAGATGTGCACTGCTTAGCTAAGGGCACTTACCCCAAGCCACGGAGTCCCAACACAGGAGAATAAGCCGGGAATAAAAGTTCTGCCCAGGGCCTCTCTGGGCAAACCCTAAACCCTAAACCCTAAACCCTAAACCCTAAACCCTAAAACCCCCCTGAACCCTCAACCCCACGGTCTTCAATCCATCAAGTCCGGGCGGCTCCAGTGTGACGCTCTCCAGGATTTCGCCACCTTTGCTGCAAGGAGTCCCCAAGCTCGAAGAGCCGAAAGGGGGCCCTACACCCTAAACCCTAAACCCCAAACCCTAAACCCTAACGCCGAAAGCATCACGCCTATACCCTAAACCCACCTCCTAGACGGCCATTATTTAGGGCGTCATAGGGTTTAGGGTTGCCAGAACTTCAGGACATGGCTCCCTGAGGCACCGAACTCTTGCACCCCCATGGGGATCGAGGGGGTTTCGATGCCATGTTGGCTTTTGTGGCCTTTAGGGTCCTGCCTGGGTTTAGGGTTTAGGGTTTAGGGTTTAGGGTTTAGGGTTTAGGGTTGGACGGCGCTTGGTGGTGCACAGCTGCTAGCCTGCAGAAGCGGTCCAAACACTAAACTCCTCGACCTACCCAAAACACAAAACCCTGCTAATATACGGGCCTTTAAAATAAGGATAGTTTTTTTTTGGTGGGTTGTTTTTGTACTATAATTGCATGGGGACCGTAAGGGAATACTGTTAGTACTTCCGACCCCTAGATTAACACCTCAACAGCAGGCAGTTTCGGATTAGAGTCCGGGTCACTGGGCTCTGGGATTTGAGGCGCTCCTCTCTCCGCGGCTAGAGTCTTCGGCGGTCTTTAGATGATGCCATACACTTGATAGGCTATGTGTGTGCAGCGTTATCAAATTGTAAATGTAAGACAAACAAACAAACAAACAAACAAACAAACAAACAAACAAACAAACAAACAAACAACCAAACAAACAAACAAGCATGCACACATACATACATACATACATACATACATACATACATACATACATACATACATACATACATACATACATACATACATACATACATACATACATACATACATACATACATACATACATACATACATACATTATACATACATACATACATACATACATACATACATACATGCATGCATGCATGCATGCATACATACATACATACACACATACGTACATACGTACATACGTACATACGTACATACGTACATACGTACATACGTACGTACGTACATACATACATACATACATACATGTCTAAATGCAGATCTATATATATATATATATATACAAATATATATATATGTATGTATGTATGTGCATGTATATATGTATATATACATGTATATATGTACACACAGAAGGCGTTTTAGTTTCGAAACAAAGCACGCAGCTTGAGGCACCACGTTTTGAAGCCAACACGCCTTGACCGGTGCACTTAACTCCTCCACCCCCTGGGTCTAAAGTTTGGGTTTACAGGTTTATAGGCTTATAGTCCTCTAGGGGTGTGGGGGTTAAAAAAGGTTTTGGTTCCAAGGATACAGGTTCGAGGGGCTAGGGGGTTTCAATATGGGTATCAGGGATATCAGGGCACCCGAAGCCAAACGCGGTGTGGACCGTGGCTCTCTCACGCCAAGCCGCTTCGGAGTAGATAACGCTCCAGGGGGCCAAGGACGGCCTCCTTCCCACTGGACACGGTGCATAGGTTTAAACGGACAGCTCTCGGGAGCTTCGAGGTTGGGGTTTGAGGTTTGGGATTCGGGTTTTGGGGGTTTAGGTTTAGGGGTTTTGGGGGGGCGGCTTTGGGGGTTTCGGGTTTAGGGGCAGCTTAGTGGGAGCTTGTGCTTTCATTCCTTCTACTGCTTTGCAGGGAGCAAAGAGAACAAACAGTAAGAATGGCACTGCAAGTTAGGGAGTTCACAGTTTCGTTCGCAGGAACAGCAAGGCTACGCGTCTACTACCACCGGTTTTGGTCCTAGATGCCGGGACAGCTTTGGTGGTAAACATCGAGCGTGGAACGTTCCTTGTGGGCATCCTAGTATAGGGGCCTCAATAGTCAGAATAGGGTTTTGGGGGGTTCTTATCGGATAAGTCTAAAGGGACCATAAGGGAATACTGTATTGCTGACCTCCTTGAGCCCCAAGGGCCAAATCCTAAACCCTAAACCCTAAACCCTAAACCCTAAACCCTAAACCCTAAACCCTAAACCCTAAACCCTAAACCCTAAACCCTCAAGGCCAGGATAAATAGAAATTGTAGGTGTTTCATTACGAGCAGCTCGTGCAATAATCCTTCATCCTTCACAGTGCAAAAATATTAGCCAAACCCTTCAGCCAGCCCCCCTCAGCCCACTTGCCAGCCCCAACGCCCTGCCCCCACCCCCTCCAGCCCCCCCAACCAGCCCCTCCAGCCCCTCCAGCCCCTCCAGCCCCTTAGGCGCCTCCAGCCCCTCCAGCCCCTCCAGCCCTTCCAGCCCCTCCAGCCCCTCCAGCCCCTCCAGCCGCTGCAAAACCCGACAAAACTCCGGACACAAACCCTTTACAATTTCTATAAACCCTAAACCAGCCGTGGGCCTCAGTCCGGCGCGGCGCTGTGCGTCCTGCGAGGTTCTCCACCAACCCCAGCACCAGTTTAGGGTTTAGGGTTTAGGGTTTAGGGTTTAGGGTTTAGGGTTTAGGGTTTAGGGTTTAGGGTTTAGGGTTTAGGGTTTAGGGTTTAGGGTTTAGGGTTTAGGGCAACCCTGACCAGCCATCTGGGGGTTGACGATATCAGGGGTACGTTTATTCGGGTCCTTATCATAGGGTTTAGGGTTTAGGATTTAGGGTGTAGGGCTTAGGTTTTCATAGCAGGGGAGTCCAGTACTTGGGGGATCAATTTTTGGGGCCCCCTATCTTCGTAAACCCCCCATCTTGGCCTTAAATAATATATTTTGTCGGAAAGCGAATCGGCGCTCTTTCCTCGGTCCCGGTGTATTCTCCGCCCGAAGTGCAAAACAAAACCTCAGAACCACAAACACGAACAACATTGACTTGAAACATACTATTCTTTGGGCATGTTCCCCCTTCGACTAACAGGTCTGAAGCATAGGGATTTCTGTACACCCCTTTTTACAATCCCTTTTAAGAGCTGTAAGGATAATGGGAACATCCCAACTCATTGTCGTAAATTGACGCCCTCGCCCTGTGTCCTAAGCCCAACAAGAAGGAAAGCAACATCTCAGACCAGGGTGCCCCGCGGCCCTCAGACCTTCTTCCGCACTGTTCAGTTTAGGGTTTAGGGTTTAGGGTTTAGGGTTTAGGGTTTAGGGTTTAAGGTTTAGGGTTTAGGGTTTAGGGTTTAGGGTTTAGGGTTTATGTTGATTATGAGACAGTGTCCCAGCTCTTCGGCTGTTCAGAATCACGCACAAACATGGTGGGTTCACGGAAAAGTCGGCAGATCCCTGTGGCCTGGCATTCACCTTTAAGGGATTCTATAGGGATCCCTAACCTCTGCAAATCCCGAGGCTCAACCGCCTGAATTGGGTTTAGGGTTTAGGGTTTTGGGGTTTTGGGGTTTTGGGTTTGGGGTTTTGGGGTTTGGGGTTTCGGGATTAGGGTTTAGGGTTTCGGGATTAGGGCTGAGGGATTGGGATTTAGGGTTTAGAGTTCAGGGTTTAGGGTTTAGGGTTTAGGGGGCTTAGTTTATTTGGGGCTGAGAGGTCTTGTGATCACCGGAG